TAGCATCGGAAAATTTTCATATTTGTTCGAGCGCTCTTTTGTTCATCAACTGCTCGTGTTCGATTCGTTAAATAGTTCATATTCGATTCATTTGTTAAGTAAACGAGTCGAACATAAGTAAAATTTTTGCCTTCGATACATATACGAGCCGAACACAAAAAAAAAATTGTTTCATTCGTTTTCAGCTCGTTTTGGCTCGAAATAATTATAAATATATAATTGATGAGTATTATTTTAAAATAATTTAATTGACTACAAGGCTATAAAAATTTATAATCAATTAGAATTATTAATTAAAAAATAAAATAAATATCTACTAAATTATATTTAAATGAATATCTTAACTTAAATCCCGCCCTTACATCTAACATCCTGCGTGGCGCACACAAAGATTATCAAACTAAATCGTTGTTCCCGAACAGCTCGTGTTCGGCTCGTTAAGCAAAAAGGCAGAACACGAACAATTTTTTCGAGCTCGATATACAAGCGAGTCAAACAAGAATATTGGTATTTTTTAATGAGTTGAACACGAATAAAACTTGGGCTCACTCAAGCTCGACTCGTTTACACCCCCACTTCGTTCTCATGTTATCTACACAATAAATAAGATTTAATAAACAAAATTGGGATATCTATTGGTAATGCCAGGAAAAAAAAAAAAAAAAAAACCTAATTTAAGATTTGTTTGCTCATCATAAGGATTATAAGACCACTTTAGCTTTATTATATTTAAATTCTTGTTCAAATAAGGAGAAAAATAGGATTATTTTTTGTATTGAATAAAAGACTTCTATTATCATAAATATATTTCGCCTTGTTTTGACATGCATTATTTACCCAGGCTTTTGTGTGTACTCCTGATGTTGAGATGATGAAATGATAAAAAACATGACTATATGAATGATTTCATTGTGTAATGTTGAGATGGATATGCATGATCATATATATATATATATATATATATATATATTTCTATTTCTATTTCTATTTGTTCTTATATTTTCAATGCATATAAAGTTAATTATATGCACAGCATCAATTGTTTACTACTAATTTTGTTATTATATAGGTTTTAATTTGTTTAATTTGATTTTTTTCTATTTTATCAAATAAGAAAAATTAGGGACATGTACATATATATCACCAAATTCTTATGTATTTATATATCTAACACCTAAAATTTACTTTTTTTTACATTAATAAAACTCAAATTATTTATATCACATCAAAAATTTCATTATTGTGTGTCAAATGATACATAACAGTATGGTAATAAATTAGCGTCTTACCGTTGGACGAACATCCATCACCGTTACAGACAAAAGAAAAGTAAGGAGAAGAAGACAACCTAAATTTGTATGTGGAAAATCCTTTATAGAGCCTAGCCTAGTTTAACTGATCAACTATGTAATCGTGAGTACACCAACATACTCTTTTTCTGAGCTAGGGAAGATTAAATTATGAAGTTGATGTACAATAACATTTCAGCAATAATAGTCCTAATGGGTTGTGAATGCCAAACTTTATTGCAACGGAGGCAGCAGTCGGTCGTGAATATTGTTAGACGTGGTTGTAGAGTCAGTCTATCGAAGAGCCATAGTTGAATTCATGATAGTAGTTGTCCATATGGGTCGTAAATGGTTGCTTTAGACTCTTAGTTGGCCAATGAGGCCATTGTAGGGAGCGACAAGAGCTATAAGCCACATTGACCATAGTTGATTATATAGGCTACAATAGTGAGTTGCGATAATGTCTATAATCCATAGAGATCGGAGTTGGGAGTTGTATGAGATCTGGACCGTGTAGGCTGTAGTTGATCAAATAGGTCATAGCGAGAACTTATAATAACGTTTTTATGCCATAAAGGTCGAAGTTGTGAACTATATGAGTTGTGTACTGCGCAGACCGTAGTTGGTCAAATAGGTCATAGCGGGGGTCTGTAATAACATTCGTAGGTCGTAGAGGGCGGAATTAAGAGATGCATGAGCCATGAGAAAATTTGTAGGTCATAGAGGCTGAAGTTTAGTGTTGTATGAGTTGTGATAAATTTTGTAGACCAGTTAGACTTTTGTAAGTTGTGAGCAACGTAGGTTGTAGCTCATCATATATATAGTATTGAGGAGTTACAATAACATCCTTAGACTACAAAGATTGAGTTGGGAGCTGCGTGAGCTATGAGCTTACATACTAGTAGAGTGATGATTACTAGCTTTTAGATCCGCTCAGCAAGAGTGACGATCAATGACCTCATCTTTTGCTTCATTGATTAGGTTGTTGGTATACATTTAGACAGTGGTGCGTGACACTGATCATTATCCTTGACATTTCAACAATACAGTACTCAAAAATTTATCGATGTTCTCAAAGTGTTTTGATCAACACATCTGTGGTCCTTGCTTTAAATGCTTCACTTATAAAAAAAACCACATCTTGCCCTCGGTAGATGAGGTCTGATGGGCGATCACGTTGGTCTCAAGTCTCTTTCATACAGATTATCGAGCTCGAGCGACTCTTACTCGATGCTTTTGACCGCCTGTAGGTAACAAGGCCCAAACTATTTGAGATCACCTCAGACAGTGATTATCTCCTCTTCATTGGGAGTGCTCTCTTAAAATAATTTTTATTTTGAATGACCTCCACTATCTAGACCATTGAAACTATCAATGGAGTTATCGTAACTACTTCATAGTTAGGCAGCAGGCGCTCATTATACTGGTTGGTCGTTCGTCAAGATATCTGACCTAACTCCTAGGTGTTATGTTATGTTGGTTACTCTATGGTTTTAGGGTAATCGAGTGGTCTTGGAGTGATCGAGCGTCTTCATACCGAGGGAGGACATGAGGATGTTAATCGTGCATGGATCTCCACCCTTCACCTTGTGGGGTCCGTTTTTTAGGGGCGGCAGGCGGAGGAATTTACTCTGGAAGAAACGAGATTGGAGTTATACCAATCAATCGATATGTGGTTGCTAGCCAGCATCTTCGGACATTGCAGACCCAATGCATACTAAAAGGGTCTTTTCTTTAGCCCTTGAGTTAAGGTGACATGAGATACTGTGCGTTATAGGTTCCACACTTCTAACATCTCATTTTGGAAAGCATGTGATGAGTGAGCGAAAACTCTTGCAATGTCCCTATCAGATATGCAGAAGGGACTACGAGTTTTTCTGAGGCTTTTGGGCCTAGACAAATTGCACTATAAACATTCATTATAAGTCAACGAAGGATGCTATTACTCCCCGTGGTAATGCCTTGAACCACTTAAAGGCTGATTCTACTAGCGTGGTAAAGAATAAATAAATTTTAGTGCTTCATTGATCTTCAACAGACATGCATTTGCTTAAACGAGGCTATGTGGTTTTTCATATCAATCTTGCTCTTGTATGATGTTAGTGTCGAGATTTTGAACCTCTCTATAGGCTCAACCTTGAAAATTGATTGAGTAAATGCATTCTCTGGTGGTTGGGGTCTCAATGCACCCGAATCGATGTCGGTTGATCGGTATCGACCCATCACTATCGAAGTACTGAGTCATATTATATTTCCAAGGACGTAGGGACTCTTCTGCCACTGGGCAACATCCCTTCTTCTCGACGGTGCTGCTTTATTCCATGAGCCATCACATCTCAAATGACATCCATCATTTAATCATTTCTCCTAGATCTTCTGGGTCACAAACTCTTTGGTGCACTTTATGTTGTTGGTGTCTCTCTTGTGGGTTGCTCATCTTATTTTTTTGTGGCATAATAAACACACACTGTACCTTTTTGGATGTTGAAACATGGTTTTGCCCGTGAATCACATCCAAGGAATAACTCATAAGAAGAGAGAGAGAAATGAGTGAATAAAAAAATGTCGTATCAATTTTGTCTTACTCATAATTTGATCTTCCTTTTTATTGGGGAAAGGGTGCAATGGATGGTGTTACATCTTTGTTTCTGATTTAAATGGGGGTCATACATGATATTATTATTATTTTACATGTATAAGTTTATCATCTGGTTGCTCTTTAGGTCAGCCGACTAAAATCAATATGATTTGTCTCAGTTGACTGAGATTCGCTCAGCTGGATGAGATCGACTCAATCGACTGAGTTTGGATGTTATGAGTTGGCTGATTGATATGATCAGACTATCATCGTTGACCCCTAATGAGAGGCATCTGAATGTCTTTGGGTTTTGTAGATCTGTTCATTCTAATATCCTTTTATCGTCTTTGGTCTATTTCTTAGTTCGATCAGCTTTGGCCTTATTAGATTTAGCTCAGATAGTAGGCCTCACAATCTTGTATTGGTCAGCCTTCCTTCGTCATTTTCTTCTCTTCTGGACCATCATATTCACTCAGGATAAGTGTAAAAACATTTTTTGTGTACAAATATATATGCTAATCCTATGCATTTTCATCTGATCTTTAGCTTGATTTGAGGTATTTATGTTTAGAGCGATTTTGGGTTATATCTACTGGTTGTCATGCAAGTGAGCCGAACATGATTTTCTTAGCATAATATATAAATGGCCTGAACACGAACAAATACTTGTTCATTTGTGTTCGGCTTTTATTGTCTCGACATAATTAAATAATAAAATTTATTTTATGTCCTTTTTATATTAATTTTCATCGGTCGCTAAAAATTTATGTTTGGAATCCAGTAATAATATGTCGTGTGACAAGCGAGTCTCACCCCTTTAAAAAAACTACCAAACTTATATCAGTGAGACTACTTGTTACATGATAAGCGCGCACGAAATTCTGCACGGAAGTTTACTTCCAACATCGTGATCCAAAATGGTTCCTCATTTTCCGCTATGTTGGGCTCATTGCTCCTCCTTTCCAAGAATATTCGGGCGCACTCGACTCGGCCCCTCAGCGATTCACAGCCAGAGAGAGAAAAAAGCAAACACGTGCCCATTCTGCGGCCGTTCGATCACCCACACAAATTTGATTAGAAGCGTTATAAATTTGCCTATCGGTCCCCATCGCGGGTAAGTTCTGCCTTTATTGTCTAGCGAGGACTGTCTCTCTTCTCTATCGGGTTGCCGAGACCCCCGATTCTGATCCATCGGAAAATTTCGCCGTTGCATTCCACCGCGGCGGCGCTAGGGTTTCGCTTCCTTTCGAATGATCGCTGGAGAGTTCGCACTGTATCGTTATTGCTCTTTGTTTTTTTCTGAGATAAAGCCGTCGAGATTGCTATTTGCGTTTTCCCGCCGGGAAACGAGGGCCGACAGGTTCTGCGATCTTAACTTTGATATATAGATAGAAGAAGAACGGGCATCTTGCGGCCATAGATGCCTTTTGCTCCGTGTATTTTCCATGATTCTCTCTTATCTTTTGAGGAATCGCGCAACTGTTTTTAGATTGGGGTTTTTGTTGTGGTATGGTGATGGAGGTGGTGAGGAGGAAGAGGAAAGGGATCATCTCTGCTTCTGTTTTCGGATCTTACCTTTCGGATGGAGTTGATAGCTATAGACAATGCAAGAAAAAGTGTAGGGAGGGATCGCGGCCGGATAAGTTGGGACCTCGAGAGCGTGGTGCCATTCCCGGCGTCGTGATGACGGCGCCTCCATCGGGAAGGTCGGGATTGGAGTCACCTGCCCGCGGTCTTAAACGGAAACTTGGGTGCATCGAATCGGTTACTCAGATCGGACGTAAGAAAAAGCTGGAGCAGGAGTACATTTTGGGCAGGGAGATCGGGCAAGGGAGGTTCGGATCCGTGAGGTTGTGTAGAAGCAAGGCCAGTGGGGAGCAATTTGCCTGCAAGACACTGCGCAAGAATGGGGAGGAAACTGTTCATAGAGAGGTGGAGATTATGCAGCATATTTCGGGCCATCCTAATGTGGTAACCCTAAAGGCTGTTTTTGATGATTCGGAATGCGTGCATTTGGTGATGGAGCTTTGCTCTGGAGGACGGTTGCTGGACCAGATGGTTAAAGAAGGGAGGTATTCGGAACAGAGGGCTGCAAATTTGCTTAGGGATCTTGCCTTCGTCATCAAATACTGTCATGACATGGGAGTTGTGCATAGGGACATTAAGCCTGAAAATATTCTTCTAACAGTGTCGGGGAAAATGAAGCTCGCTGATTTTGGATTGGCTGTGAGAGTTGCCAATGGTAAAGAAAAAAAAAGGGCTTTTTTAATGCACTTATATTTGATATCAAAGCTTTTCTTGTTGTCAATGCTTCTGTGATGATTGATGGTTGCAGAGCACTCTATTCTGCTATGGACTAATTTTGTTCTTTTTACCTAATTTGGTTAAGCATTTCAGAGTAAAATTGTATCAGTTACTGCTAATGCTTCTTCTATAGGACTTGTATTTTATCCTGCCTAGTTAGTCTGCATTGTTCATCCAATGCACAGGGTTGTTCAATCTTACATGGAGACACATTTAACCTATTCAAGATATTGATGTTTCACAGAACATGTCGATTTGTGTTTTTTCATCATTTTTCATGTTTTGTAATGAACCCTTCCACGAATACCAATGGTTATTACAAGGTTTGGGGCTTGTTGGTTTAGTGTAATCCTTTGTCAAGAATTGTGTTATATTTTCTTATTGTCGCCTATATGTTTGTGATTCATACCTAGATTAAATTTTCATTATCAGTTCCCCATGATCAATTGTCCTTTAGACAGCTTTCTTTAGGTCTATTAGAATTATGCTATCATTATTTGCTTGATTAATCAATGGTATGTGCAAATGATGCTCAACTACAAATTGTGGCCTCTTATTACATATATTCCATGCATTTTTTTTCCTTGAAAATATTAGTGAAGTTGTATGAACTGTCAGCTTTTGTTGCATTTTAGTCTGCTAAGTCCTTTTGTAGAAAAGGATTCATTGTTTTTTTTTTCCATTGATATCAGCTGGTTGGTCAGTTACCTCTAGCTTACATGGTCCTTCTTTTAGGGTCTGTTTGTGATCACTTTTTGTTTTTGATTTTTATTTTTGTTTTTGGTCTGTTATGTTTTATGTTTTCTATTTTTGAAAAATTCGTTTGGTACTGTTATGAGTTATATGTTTTTAAAATTAAAAAATATAAAACATGTTTGGCTGGGCTTTTTTTATTTTTATTTTTAAAAAAACTTGTACTTTTAAGAAAACGTTTGGGTCCACGTGTGTTCCAACATTAAGCTGTGCCGCCTATGACACCACCCAACAAAAAGCATTACCTGTGGGTTGGCGGGCGGCGGCGGCGGACAGCGGCTTGTAGGGACCAGTGGCGAGCGGCGGCTTTCAAGGAACGGTGGTGGGCAGCGGTGGGAGGCAGTGAGAAGTGGGCCCGGGGGCGGGAGGTGGCTGGCGGGGGGGCAGCCACGGGCTGGC